GCTTTATGCTATATATTAAAAAGACCACTCTGGCAACATATACACTTTTTGACATAAGTATACAACTTTTGTTGGTTTTTGTAGAATTGACTTCACCAGGGATGGAAAATTAGATTTTGTGTCAGTATCAAAAAATATTTCAAAGGGTACTTTTTTGGATCTCAAAGAACTAAAATATTTTTTTTTTTTTGCTAAATGTTGATAATTTTTTAAATAAATATAAAATTTTTAAACAATCCATAACGGAGGTAGAAAGGTCATTATAAGTTGATATGATGAATCCTTGTCCGTCCCTCAATGTTAACCTTTTATAGGAATGGGTACATGCCATTTCATAGCTACCATACAAATATTAGCCACTTTGTAAATATGTTAAATTTAAAGCTGTCATAATATAATTTGTTATATTTTAAATCCGGTCTTAATCGAAATCAGGCCACATTTGGCCCTATACAAGAATGAATTTAGAATTTCATCTTAATGGTAATAATTGAGCTACAAGTATTAGTATCGACTGTCCATTGCCAATAAGTCGCTTAAATATGTGTTATTGAATTAAAATCCGTCGTGGGACCGTACATAGGATATTTACTCGTATATGCGATTCTTAATACGACTTGAAACAATAATTTGCTTAGACCGGGTTTTTGAGTTGGCAATCAAATGGCAATTAATAATTAGATTAGTTAATCTAAAAATAAATTTAATCCAATGTTAATACCATTTGATGTTTTTGAGTACAAGATTAAACTTCGCAGTGTTGCCATACAAAACAACAGAAAATGTCACTGTTTGTTATCAAAACAATGCATATTTTATAAAAAAGAAGAAGACAAATGTAAATTTAATATGAAAATTAATGAAAACTTAAATTAAAAACAAAAAAATGTATTTTGAAGTGTCCATAATATATACTAATCAATAAATAGAACATTTTAATGTTTATATTTATAAAAATTTTATTAATTTTTTTGCATCAGCTGTTTACACTTTTGCATTTCGTGCTTAAGATTAAACCACCTCCACTGGGCGCTTAAACTTGCAAACAAAATTAACTAATTGAGTACTCAAAAACATCTTTCGACGATTAATTTTAATTTAATCGCTAATCTTTCACCTAAAGATTGGCTCTTAAAAGTCCAAATATTTTTGACCTAAAACTTCTTATATGTATTGTCTTTGGTTGAATGCTTAGTTTCAAAACAAATTGTTTTATATTAGATAGAAAGTGAATCCTTCGAGTTTATATCATTTGGAAATCATTTGTTTAAAGTCAAATATTATTTCAAAATTGAAATTTCTGGTATTTTTCTTATAAAATAGTAATAAAGGTATTTTCAGACTACAATACTGAGTATTAACACACTTCAAATTAAAAATATTATGAAAATAATTCGCATTTTCAAAAAATCAATCCGAAAAATACATTTTATGTTTACACTATAACATTTGTAATATTTTTTATCCAATTTTCAATTATTTATGCACTTTTCGTTCTTATTTTTAATGTATTTTACACTTTTTGTTTGTTTTTTATTGTATTTATAAAATACATACCGAATACGTTTGAAAATAAAAAGTTTTTGAATTGTTTTAAAAAATTTATGAACACCGACCGTATGCCAAAAAAATAAGTAATATTTTTGAAAATCAAATTACAAATTATATTTAGACTAGTAAATTGTATTATGATACAAATATTCTTGACAAGTATTAATACTCAGTATTGTAGTCTGAAAATACCTTAATGAATTTTTAATTAGATTACTATTCATATAATGTCAATAAAGATAAAAATAAATACAACTTCTGATTCCATTTCGTAATGAGTTACATTGGTTATATTGAAGAGAAATCCATTACTCTATAATTTTATTAGCCGGTTTTACTAATATACTTTTTTTTAGAAAAAACGGCTTTTAGTTGATGCATTTTGGAATTTGAAATTTTAAATATTCTTAAACTTGTTATTTTTTATCGAACCGATATATTATTGGAACAAATTAAGTGTTCTAATCCAGCTGATTTTTAGAGTTAAAAGTTATCCGGTCTATTAGGGTCCGGGAGTTATGGGCCTCCAAAGGTCTGATATATAATTGGATATATCTCGATCACTGATAAACGGATATGGTCGATATGGGTATCATTGGAAAGGTCTTTGACAGAGCTTTCCACTGATGTGTTAGATGACAAATATTATTAACCCATTGAGAACCAGGGTGAATTTTTTGGTTTTTTCCTTTGACTTTTTTTAAAAAAGTACCGTTATCTCTAAAACATATCGATATAACGGTACCTCATCTTAGGTGAATGTTTGTAGACTACATTTGGGGCTTTCCTTTGATATAGGTTTGAAAGCTATAACCCATGAAATGCAGGAGTTATTTAAGTTTAAAGTTTTATATTTTCGTAAATTTTTTTATCATATGTTATTATAAATTTCAAGTGCTTATTGTTTGATATGGGTATCAGTGGATAGGTCTCTGAAATACCTTTCAATTGATATATATTGTAACTTATATCATTAACCCATTGAGAGCCAGCGACAATTTGTATATAAATTTCTTTTATTGTTTTTACAAAAGTACCGTTATCTCAAAAATAAATCGATGTAAGGGTACCTCATTTAACATGAAATTGTAAAATATTTGGGGCTTTTTTATAATATACGTTTGAAATTTGTAACTCATGAAGTTTAGAAGTTTTTTAAGTTAATTTAGAAAGAAAGCATATCTAGGTGAAATAAATTATTAAACAAAGAAGTGGGTAAGTTATTTCACTTTTTGATGAAATAATTGAATAAAAATATTTCACTTTTTGATTAAATGATTTGAAATTGGTAAAAAGTTGTATAATTTTTTTGAAATAATTTTTATTTTTTGGTAAAATTATTGATTTGAAAATGAAATAGCGCGATTTTTTTGAAATAATTTTTCATATTTTGGTGAAATGATTGAATTGTGGGAAAAAGTGATATAGCGCCCCAGGTGAAATGATTGAATTGTGAAAAAAGCAGCCTAGCGCCGCAGGCGAAAAATGATTGAATTGTGGGAAAAAGTAACATAGCGCTGCAGGTGAAATGATTGAATTGTGGAAGGAAACAGGCTAGCGCCGCAGGCGAAAAATTATTTCAAAAAAATCGCGCGATTTTTTTGAAATAATTTTTCACTTTTTGGTGAAATGATTGAATTGTGAAAAAAGCAGCATACCGCCGCAGGGGAAAAATTATTTTAAAAAATCGCGCGATTTTTTATGTATGTATGTATTTATGTATGTAGTTGCGTGATTCAAATAATTTTTAAACTGAACACATTACAATTAACCAAAATATATTTGAATTACGTGTGTTCACCCTGTTTTAAACAAGACGATTATAAATTTTTCGATTTTTTTTGTCGATTCGAAAGTTACAAAACACAGGCACTGGCTGTTAATAGGTTGATATAAATGATATGGACCATATTATATATCAATCAAAAGATATTTCAATACCATTGCATTGATATCCATATCGAATAATAAATAGTCAATCTATACAAATGCATTCCATAAAAACCAAAATTTTTTTAAAATATTAATTTTTAAAGTTATCTAACTTCTGCATTTCATGAGTTAGGTCTTTCAAACATACAACATATGAAAGCTTATAATGTTGTCTATAAGATTTCATGTGACATAAAGTACCTTTATATCGATTTATTTTTGAAAAAACGGTACTGTAAAGAAAAATAAATAAAAATATATACAAATTGCCCCTGGCTCTCAATGGGTTAATGATATAAGTTACAATATACATCAATTGAAAGGTATTTCAGAGACCTATCCACTGATACCCATATTGACCATATCAAATAATAAGCACTTGAGATTTATAATAACATATGATAAAAATCAAAATTTACGAAAATATAAAATTTTAAACTTAAATAACACCTGCATTTCATGGGTTATAGCTTTCAAACATATATCAAAGGAAAGCCCCAAATGTTGTCTACAAACATTCACGTAAGATGAGGTACCGTTATATCGATATGTTTTAGAGATAACGGTACTTTTTTAAAAAAAGACAAATGAAAAAACAAAAAAATTCACCCTGGTTCTCAATGGGTTAATGATATAAGTTACAATATACATCAATTGAAAGGTATTTCAGAGACCTATCCACTGATACCCATATTGACCATATCAAATAATATGCACTTTAGATTTATAATTACATATGATAAATATCAAAATTTAAGAAAATATAAAATTTTAAACTTAAATAACTCCTGCATTTCATGGGTTATAGCTTTCAAACCTATATCAAAGGAAAGCCCCAAATGTAGTCTACAAACATTCACCTAAGATGAGGTACCGTTATATCGATATGTTTTAGAGATAACGGTACTTTTTTAAAAAAAGTCAAAGGAAAAAACAAAAAAATTCACCCTGGTTCTCAATGGGTTAATAATATTTGTCATCTAACACATCAGTGGAAAGCTCTGTCAAAGACCTTTCCAATGATACCCATATCGACCATATCCGTTTATCAGTGATCGAGATATATCCAATTATATATCAGACCTTTGGAGGCCCATAACTCCCGAACCTTAATAGAGCGGATAATTTTTTTTCCTTTGTTGAAGTCACAAGAACAAGTACTATCATGTGGTATAAACAAAAGTTTTAAAATCAGCTGGATCAGAACGCTTAATTTATACCAATGTTTACATACAAAAATTATTTATCTATCTGTTAATCGATAATCGGATATTGTGATTGTGGGCCTGAGAGTATCAAATAAGACTCGCGAGTATCACGGTACTTTTGAACATCAAATAGTATCAAAAAAGTACCACCGTAAAAATTTTGCCATCCCTGGACTTCACCTTATTCCATCATGCAGAATTTGTTCGTAGCAAATTGAAGGAATACATAACATTTGGAAAATAATTATTATTTAGTATGATGTAAAAATACATCATGGTATACGCTAAGAAATACATGTGTGAACTTACTGAGTTTTTTAGACAAGAATGTACATCTAATGGATTTGAAACGCAACAAAATATCCCACACATTTTAACACAAATCCACACTAATTAGTATTTAGTAAACAAACTAAACATGTGCGAGTTGAATTTATACAAGGTAGAGTTAGTTCTGCAACACAAACATTTTCAAGGTACATTTATTATAAGGTAGCTTCGTCAGCGAATTCGTATAATTGGAATTAATTACTTAATTGGGAAAATTATATCTTTGTAATATAAAAATAATTTGTTTAATTATTTAATTTTAAAAAACTTATATAAAAATGAAATAGAATAATATTTTTTTCTAATTAATAAAATTTTCCTTGCGTTTTCAATAATTTATAAAAAGGAACAATAGGCTACTTTTTATTATGAAGTAGCACTTCCTTAAAAGTCGAATATCTCGGAATATGTTTAACTAGAGTCCTCAAATTTTGTATTGACAATTTTGACATCCATATGAAAATTTGGAGGAAAAGTGGGAGTTCTAGCAATAGGGGGCGTGCACTTTCCATAAGAATTCAATACAAAAATTTGTATATGTCGGAAACGCTTATAGCTAGAATATTAGAATTTTGCACAAACTAATTTGTCATTCATTTGAACATTTGATTAATAAATTTGTGGATTAGAAAAAGGCTTACAGCTAGAATCCTTATATCTCGCACGAACAACTATGTCATCCATGTAAACATTTGGGTAATAAATTGGCGCATTAGCAATAGGGGGTATGGCACCTTTCAAATGAATTAAATATACAAATTCTAATGTGAGAAGTCATTGGAGTTAGAATCCTCAAATTTTTCACGAACAACTTTGTCATCCATGCTAACATTTGGGTAATAAATTGGCGGACTGGCAATAATGGGTGTGGCACTTCTCATATAAATTAAACACAAAAATTCGTATATCTGGGAAATTATTAGAGCAATAATCCTTAATTTTGCACAAACAACTTTGTCATTTATGTGAACATTTGGGTAATAAATTGGAGGATAAATAGGGGGTATTGCAGCAAGAATTCCCATATATGTACTCTGTACTTTCCTAGATATACATACATATGTATTTAATAAATATGTGAGGTGCAACGCCCTTTATTGCTAGTTGAACTATTTTTCCAAATACTAAAATTAGTATATCTGGGAATCTATAAAAGCTAGAACACTAAAATGTTAAATGTGAATTTTTTACATCTATATAAACATTTAAGAAAATGAATGGACGAATCATAAATAACAGTGTGACCAGATCTCAAAAAATTTTGCGGTTAGATCTCATTCAAAATAATGCTAGAAAAAATGCTAAAACTGAATTAAAATGCTGTATCTTGCTTACAAATTTTACATGGACAGCCAACAAATCATACATGGATAAATACATGGCTTGGGTTTAGGTTTAGAAGGGTTATTCACCATAAAAAGATGCATATCCACTCCGAGACGATAAGGTCCGCTGTAAAAATAAAACACTACAAAAAACGAAAAAGATAGATAAAAGGAAACAGATATATTCCAAGGGATTACACCACAGAGGATTTACCAAGTCAGTATCCTAAAGAATAAAGCCCAGGCGAAGAAGTGACTAATTCTCTTGACAAAACCTAGTAGAGTATAGTGTCAAGACCCGCAATATCCCCTATTTCGACATGGAACCTATTCCCTAGCCATTTCAACCTGAGATTCTGTATCCTACCGTACTATTGCAGGTTATGCTCGATCTTCGCATAACCTGCAATAGTACGGTATATTGCTGTCCCACTTACTGACAAAGGCCCTAACTGAGCAATGCCCGCTTGGCATCCCTATCAGAAACATTAGACTGCATCTATCAAGTCCTATACATAAATATTTTGGTAGCAACCATATCAAGTTTTGGACATAGGACCTTTGGTACTTTGCAATCCAATCTACTATTCCAAGTCTAGTTTATGATGTCACAGATCTTTCGAATATCTGCCTGTAATAGTGACAAATGAGCGGTTTTACCATCCATGGCCTAATAGACTCAGAAAATGATTCTTAGCTTCTTAGTTCAGTGAAACTAAGATAAAACTACAGAAATGCTAAAAATTATTTCGAAATGATTGTCAATTATACAATTATGTAATTTCTCTAATATCCCATTTACACATACGCGAAATCTAGTAGATTTCATTAAAGATCTTTTTACAAATCTAGATCGTTTACACTTATTATTTTTGAAATTTAGGAAGATTTCGTTTTTTCTAATGTTTCTAGAAATTAGGTTTGATACGAAAAATAAGAAGGAAAATGTAAAAATATTTCTGAATGCAAAACGCGCTCTCTTTCTCAAAAATTTCATTAAAACTCTATAAATTACATTTTTAATCCAGAGACCAAAGTATACTTTTCTAAAGGATTGAGCAGAATCTGGCTTTATCATCCATGAATCAATTTGAGTTATCGTGTCTTGAAGTTTGAGAAACGCCATTTTTGGCCAAAGGCTTAACATCTGACATATCTTCTTTCATTGAAGCAGAATATTAAAATTTCATAAAATGTATGAATTTGTACATGAAGGAATTTTGTTTTTCCTTTTCTTTGATTTTCATAAAAAATTGCAATAAATTCCCATTACCTATTAATCTGTTCCAAATTTTTAGAAAATTATCATATACCGTGACTGTCATTAATATTCGGTTTTTACATTTCCGTTTTTTCTGTTCTTAATTTTTAAATTAATTTAAATTAAAATGGAGACACCACATAGAGGATAGGATCAACAAGGCACATCGGTGCTGGGCGATATGTAGGAGAACCATAGGCATGAAATGGGGTCTTAGTCCTACTATGACAAATTGGCTTTATAAAAGTGTAATTAGACCAATTCTAGCTTATGCTTCAATAATCTGGTGGACTGCTTTGGACAAAAAGTGTAATATCAAACTACTACAGGGAGTTCAGCGTACATGCTGCTTGGGTATAAGTGGTGCCATGTGTACTACTTCAACCAAGGCTCTGGAAACGTTGCTAGATATTCCACCAATTGAAACATATATAAGATATGAGGCGGCGCTTACAGCCGAACGGCTCCTTACTTTAGGCGAACTGGCCAAAAACGGTTATAGGACACGTCATCAATGTATACTGGACACATTGGAAGGTTATACACATTCATCGGACGTGCCTGATCGCATACCAGACACTGAATATGTCGGAAACTTTGAAACGCTAATCCCAGATAGAATGTCTTGGTCAAGCGGAACATTAGAGCAAATACCAGTAGGAATCCGTTGCTACACGGATGGCTCTAAATTAGGGGACAAAGTGGGCCTGGGGTTCTATATTGAAGACCCAGAAACAGAAATATACCACCGTTTACCTAATCATAACACAAGTTTCCAGGCAGAAGTACGAGCAATAACGGAATGTGTAAATTGGATTAGAATAAATATGGCGACAGCCAGAAGGCAATTTGTGCGATATCAGGTGATAGAATTAAATCTAAGACCGTATTGGATTGTAAGAAAGCTTTAACTGAATACTCTCCCAGAGGTAAGGTTCACATCATATGGGTACCAGGCCACTCGGGAGTAGTCGGCAACGAAAGGGCGAATGTAATAGCTTTAAAGGGAAGGGAGCTCGATGTAGTTAACCTGACAAACGCAAAACCATTCGACGCAACAAAAGCTGAATTAAAAATATGGATGAGAGAATCCCATAAGGCCTCTTGGAATAATGAAACGGTGGGTAGAACCACAAAGATTCTATGGGGTGACCCTGATGAGAGCAAGACGAGAAATCTTCTCAAAATGAGCAAGTCTGAGGTTAGTATGATGGTACGTATTCTGAGTGGACACACAGGATTACGAGCACACCTATACAAAATTGGACGTGCGGATTCAGACGAATGTAGAGCATGTGGAGAGGACAGTGAAACTCTGGAGCACTTTCTTTGCCATTGTCAGGCATTCGTCGAAGTTAGATCCAAGTATCTTGGAAATGATGTTATTCCGGAAATAACATTCTTAACCAACACCGATTGGAAGATTCTTAGGAATTACGTCCAGGAAACTGAGTTTCTGAACATGGAAAAATAATACATTCAGTGAACAATTTTTTTTTTTTGTATTTCTTGAATTGGAGCGCACAACAGGCCCGATAGTGGCCTAGGTGTATTTCTTCGGATTTGATGTAGTATACATCCTCCTATCAACCTAACCTAACCTAATTTTTAAATAAAAATTAAGGTATTTAAAAAAATATTTTTTACTTATTGTTGTACATATTAAGAGCTTTTTATACGTACCAAATTTTTTATATACATCGATTAAATATAATAAAAAATTTAAAAAGATGGAATATTACATAAACCTATGCTTCATTAATATTCGGTTTTTTCTTCTTACGAAAAAATTAATCGCTGCAACTGTTCAAAAATTATGTGAATAATGGTCGAATTTATATTATGATGTTCAAATAAAAAAATCAATCGGTCGTAAGTGAAAAAAATCATCTCTAAAAAATATTAAATTGTACTTTTGCATTATGAAAATGAAAAAAAAAAACCTATATAAATATTGGTGAAATATTAAATGTGTAGAAAAATACTGTCGGTGATATTGTACAAAGGTATAAAAATGAAGGTCGCATTCATTTAAAGTAAAACGAGATAGCCGAAAAAGTTGACAGATATAGAACAGTGTCTAAAACATAGAAAAAGCAAGACAAATCCGCGTTAAGTACACCTAAAATTGTTTCTGAAGTGAAAGAGTAATTAATAATGACTGTTTCAGAAACAACAATTCATCGAAAGATTTAAAGTCAGGTATATAATGGCCGAGTGTCTAGTAAGATGCATATAGTAAATAATAAGGATGGAACGTACTGACTAAAATTTGTGAATGAACGCCTCAAAAAAGTTTTAATTTGGTGGGACGACGTTATATTTCTTTGATAAGAGCTTATTTAATATATTTTAAGTGTCGGAAGAACAATGATGTGTCGGAAACCAAATGAAGCTGAATGGAAAAAACGTTACTCCCGTAGTAAAACACGGAGGAGGATATGTGATGGTTTGGGGCTCTATATTATCAAATAGATCCGGAAACCTAGCTTTTATCGACATTAACATGAACAAAGATTTGTATTTGACTATTTTGAGGTATA